TATGTATCAAGCTATCTTGCATGTGGCCTTCAAATTTGATATATCTGGCTTTAGTATTAAAGCATCGGGCATACCGTAAAACTGGAATATACGACTGGATCGGAATATACGTCGACCCCTCAAACTTCGAATTTTCGAAAGAGAAATATTTAGAAATCGCAAAGTATTGCAGTGCACCCTTACCTTGGTAAATACGCGGCAGTACCAGCTGCTCTGTAGTGACATTTCTCTTTATTTAGACTTTAATCTTATGTCTTGATTTCAACATGTAGCGCGTAGGCATTATAATCTCTGGTCCGAGTTCGAGTCCAAGAGTCCGGTTGAGTAACGTTAGGTGAGTCTGAACCCAAGTGAGTCCGGCTGAAGAAAATTTTCGTGAGTGTGAGTCCGAGTAGGCAGGATAACCGCTGGTCATCAAGGGTAATTGACTAGATTCCCAGAGAAGGCAAGCGGGTTAGGGGGAGACAGAAAGTTAGGTGGGCAGATGAGATTAGGAAGTTTGCAGGCATAAAGGGGCAGCAGAAAAACAGGATCGAGTTGACTGGCCGAACATGGCCTTTGTCCTGCAAGTGGACGTAGTCAGGCTGATGATGATGATGATGAATCTTATGTAGCTACATGCCAGAAGGCCACAAAGTGCCATCACTCAGACTCGTCCGAACTTGAGTCCGACGACGTCTGTTTCTCACTAGCAACGTCCCACAGTGCATCGTCCTTTGCTCCATCCAATGTGTTGCTGATGCAGCATTTGTGGAAAGACGGAAGTATGACACCTCAGGCACAAAGCCCTTCCGTTTCATAAGTCGGCGCACTCACGATGGCAATCCCTTAAACTGCGCCCTTATGAGTGAGCCCAGAGTCACGCGCTATCTCGAATGCTTTCACGGGATGCACTGCAGTCTGACCACGAAACGAAGTTCTCTTTGGGGGGGGGGGGGGGGTTGCTGCAGGATTTGATTGATTGATTGATTGATATGTGGGGTTTAACGTCCCAAAACCACCATATGATTATGAGAGACGCCGTAGTGGAGGGCTCCAGAAATTTTGACCACCTGGGGTTCTTTAACGTGCACCCAAATCTGAGCACACGGGCCTACAACATTTCCGCCTCCATCGGAAATGCAGCCGCCGCAGCCGGGATTTGAACCCGGGACCTGCGAGTCAGCAGCCGAGTACCTTAGCCACTAGACCATCTCGGCGGGGCTTGCTGCAGGATTTGATGCACTGCTTTTGGCTCCTTCAGTATTGGAAGCTTTTTTCAATGCACCGAATTCCCGTTGTGCCGCCATGTTGTCGTGCGCTTCGGCGTACACGATAACTTTTTTTTTAAGGGGGGAAGCGGCGTCGAAAAAAAAACTTTTTTATTTGTTAGCAATAAAATTTGGCATGCATTCTCGTAAGTGCCTTGAATAGGGTAATAGGCAGTTTCATCATGATACCTTGAGTAGTTCTCAAGTTACATAATACTACATGGTTCGACTTACATGGTCTGCTCGTGAAAAGCCTAGCGCTCCAACAAAACATGCCAGGAAGCTGAAATTGGGGTTATTTTTACTCAAAATAAGACTATTGGGTATGACAATATCAAAATTTTTTTATCACTTCTCTTTTTTCTTATAGAGATCATCATAGCTGCCTACACACATTGTCAGAAACAGTGTCATTTACAAGTCATCCTTTAGAAAAAAAAAAAAGCTTGGCAAAAAAAAAAAAAAACTGAATCGAAATTCGTACAGTGATTCCAGTGCTACACTTTATACTAGCAATGCACAATGTCCAAAACACTCTTGAAAAAAACCCTGTCAAATTTTTCGATCCGGCTTTTTTTCGACGAAATTTTTGTTTCTGGTTGGATATTGATGAAAATTGGCACAGACACTAAGAATGGCCTCACAGTGCTTCCATAAAAATTTCGAGGCGATACCACAAATACTTAATGAGAGACAAATTATTTCTTCATTGAACCTCATGGAGGGGTTGCGCATAATACCAAAAAATAAGAAAAACAGTATTGAGACAACTGCGTTTAAGGTTTCAACTTCCTTTTACGTCTTATAAAAAATCTGAGAAATTGTGATGTCAGGTTTGTCTTGTGATATTCGGCTTTTCAGGCATGTGGCCTCTACCCAGTGTGTCTTTCATTAACTGTAATAAGTAATTGATTACAAACAATTACAGAACATTTATTATATATAGAGATGTTTATTGCATAAAAAAAATGACTTGCACCACGACAGCCTATGCCTTCTTTCCAAATAACAAAGTTATTGGCAGGAGACTGGTGGCACAAGAATTTTTTATCAATTTATTTAATGACACGAGACAGGCATATAAAAATTCGAGCCCCTGCTTTATACATGCTCTTTTGCCATTCTAGCCATGAAATGCTTCATCATACGGACAGTCTCGGAAACGCTAATCTACGAGGCTTTCATTGTCTCAGAACATTCATAGATGCTCGTGGCGATGTCAAGCATGGCTGCATGCATGTCTAAATCGCAACACAAAAGCTTATTGACAGCGTCCATAACCGTGGAGTGCGCGGCCGTGTGCACAGTGTAGCCTGCACGTGATGCACTTGGTGGCGGCGCTCGGCGACGATACGCGAAATGTGTAGCTACGATGACAAAAATCGGCGTGCAGCTGCGCTTGGTATTTCATTTTCAAGTGACGACGCCTGAAACTGCTAGCCGCTGTTCCGAGCAATCCTTAGCAGTGGAGGGAGGGGTTTGACGAGCATGACTGTGGGGTACGCTGCCGATATGTAAAATGCCTGACCGCGGTTCCAAGGAGCTAGCGAGAGATGTGCTTTGTTGCTTACGAAGAAGCACGTCAGCACGATTGCGCTTGCGCGGCGTTCTTTCTCGGAATCTCGTCGTCAGCGAAGTTAGCCCTAAAGACGACTCTGATGATGAGCCGCCACGCTCGTAGACCATGCGCCCGCTTGTAGTACAGTCATCCTAAATCTAGTTATAGCTTCATTGCTTGTGAAAAATCACTTCCCCACGAGTGCGCTAGCGTGTCGTTCTTGCTTACAGTCTTGCTGTCAGCGGAGTTTGCCCTAAAGACAACCTCGATGACGCGCCAGGCTCGTAGTAATTTGATCGTGCATCCACTTACAGCTCCTAACTAAAGCGTAATGGTATCCTAAGTGATCGCTGAGCCGTAAAAACGTCACTAAACTAGCGATTTTTGAGAGCCATGTCCTCGCGACACACAAGCAGTAAACGATGATCTCCCGGAGCAAGCATCGGGCCAATGGCGAGGAGAGCTGAGGCAACATGTCGGCCACAGACAATCAGGGGGCCTAGAGCTTCTTACAATAATAGCTAGAGAGGAATCAGGCACTGCAATCATGTACCTTCATGGGAATTGTGAGAAGTACAGGCTTCGGATTAGATAGGTTTAGCTAGCAAACTGTCTACGGACTTTTTTCTACAGTTTCAGTTTCGTTCTTCATGCAGCGTGGGTAGTGGGGTGCGATGAAAAAGGCTTTGTTGTGTGTCTTTGTTGGTCGAAGAGGCTGACGACCACTAGATCTTCTAATTTACTGCGATGTAGGAGCTATACGAGTCGTTTTGACAGTTTAAGTGAAGTGCTCACCACTGCGCATTGATGTAGCGTCTCATGTCACTGCAGGATATTGCCTCAAGTTCATGTTTTTCACGAGTGCGTCTTGCCTAAAATCAATTTAAATCGACTGCAAAGCGATGATTAAGCTAAGTAGACGCATCGTCCTACTTCGCTCACTCGACTTCACTACAAAACCAGGGGTGCGTTGGGGACAGACCACTAGGACAGACGCACCTAGTGTCGCAGAAGATGAAACAATAAGTGTTTCTCACTTAATACTGTAATGTTATTTCTATAAATATATAATACATACTTTTGAGAGAAAAACAAGCATGTTAGTTTTCAAGTGTTGTAAAAAATAATTTAATAAATCTAGATGGCTAATCTGGAACACAATGCCAGAGCGATGCATATACCTGATGGTTAAATTTGACGAGGTTCCGCTTTTGCCGCCTGGTCACAAAAAATATTTGCAATAAAGTTTGCGTACAAATATTTAAAGCAAGTTTAAATTAAGCTTAAGTTCATATCACTGTGTTTTACACTAAAAAAAGAAGCGTCGTGAATCTCAAGAGTGTTATCCATCCAAAGTGGATGTGAAGCCTGTACTTCCCATCACTCCCATGGGGGTACAAGCACCGCTGAAGAAACCCGTGTAGACGCTAGTGCCACATTCCCCTCTAGGTATTATTGTATGAAACTCTATCATCAGGGGCCTCAAAACGACCTTCAACCATTTGCTTTTTGTGTATTTGTTTTTAAAGGGAGGAGCCAGCTGAGGCGGGAGATTTAAACACGGTGAAATGCTCCTTCCATTGAGCCCAAGAAGCCGGCTCTCGGCAGTGCCACTGCAAAGCTATAATTTTTTGAAAATCACTGTTTTCTTGTGATTTCAGAAAAAAGTTTCGCTACCTAGGATGGTGAAACGAATTTTCCTAAGCACTTCTGCGTGGTTTTCAGTGTAGATATTTGGAATGAGATAGAAAAAGGGTTCCAGGAATCAGAAAATTTGATTTCCGAAAAATAGATTTTTTTGCCATTTTTCACGATACCAAACCCGTGTCTCTTAAGTCCTTTCGTAGACTGCCGTCGACTACCACTCATTTCCGAAGGATATAGAATAAAAGGAAACGGCAGACTGACAGCCAATAACTGAGGCAAAATGGCTTTGCTAGAACACTGTAAGCCTTGCCTGCCCTTGCCCAACGGCGCCGCTGCTTGAAGGCTTTCGACTTCAGCTGCCCATTGTTGCAAGATCTCCACATTTTTTTTGCCAATGATTAGTGTATTAAGACGAGGGTTGACTTTTTGTTGCGTGTTTTTTTTTTAATTTGACCTATATTGTGGTTTTTATGGTATATATTTCACTAACGGATAAAGGGAATATTCTAACAAAGCTTTCTCTCGTGTTCTGTATAATTTTTCAGTACACCATCAAAGTGTCGCAGTACGACCCTTCACGAATCATGACCACATGCTCGGAGGTGTCGTAAGTATTGCTGTTTTTTTCTCTGCATTTTTTTTCTTTACTTTGGATATAAGCAAACTAATATACAGTAGCATTTACAAATTCTTTATTAAGATTCCCACTGATGTCATAAGAATGTAGGCTTATTCTACAATATAATGATGTTATGGTAAGAGTAATATTGCAAACATGTCAAAATGATGCAGTGATAGTAGGCTGTGTTCAGATAAGAATGTTGGTGCATGTCCGCCAACCCCCTTTAATTTCACCTAGATAAAATATATTTTGTTTTCCGAATCTTCAGGACCACGAAACCACTTGTGGTTTCTTGAAAAAATATTTAGCCTTAAAAAAAAAAAAAATCCAGAAGTGTCCACTGAGCTGCAACCGCTTCTTTCGAATTTCGTGAAAATGAGAATTAAACTGAGATCCGGCAAAAAAACTGTTGTACCTGTAAATCTGAAAAGCTTAGGCCACATACTAAAATAGTTTGATAAACCATTTCTTTGATGAACCGTCATTACTTCGCAGTTTGGGTGCTGTTTTTTTTTTTTCAAGGAAAAAATGCGAAATTGGCACTCAGCTCAATATTGCTGAAACTTTGGATTTTTTTTTTTTGCTCCGCAGCGTATAAATGTCAAACTTCCCTAAAAATTTCGAGAGCATTGCCACATGTTAGGCAGGGTGTGTACAGGTACTTGAAATCCTTAAAATCCTTGAAATCGAAAATTAGTTTTTCAAGCCTTGAAAGTCCTGGATGTTCGTTTGAGTTCTTGAAAACCCTTGAATACTGGGCATTTTCACAGGTTCCAATGGGACGACTCGCAATTCACAGCAGTTGAGCAGTGGTGCCGGGCAAGCATCATTGCTTATCGCGTCCTGCTGACACCGCAATTGCGAAGTCAGACATGGTCAAACTGCCCGTATGAGATGGAGGCATGCGCGCACCCGCAGTGCCATTATTTTGTTTTCCTCTGGCTTGCTTTGGCTTCGCTTGGCGAGAAGCCATAAACTGATGGCCACAATGAGGTTACAGAATTTTGAGTTCTGAAAAAAAAGTTGGATGAATGCGCTTATTGTTGTAGACTTTACTAGTGCTTAAAAGGCTTTCTTTTGGCTTCGCTTAGTCGTATCCCTCAGCAACTTGCAAAAAAAAAAAAAAAAGTGCAGCACACACTCGCTACCCTCAGCCACCTCAGTATGATCTGTTGGCCACATTGTAGGCTGTGTAGCTTGTCATTGTCGGTGCTTGCTCGGTCTCCGGTGGTGTTTTGTTTTGCACATATTGGTTGCTGTGTGCTTTGTGATCGCATGATCGTGTATGCAGGTGGCATAATTTGCAGTAATGCCTGAGAAATGCAAGTTCCAGAGCGTCTGGCTCAGCAACGATAATTATAAGCATTGGATTGCACTGGATGTATCCGACTCCCAGTGCAAAATTTACATTTTGCAAAAAGAGCTTCGACGTAGCTTCTATGGGTGAATCTGCTCTCAAAAGCCATGCAAAAAGCACGAAGCACAGTGGAATTGTGAAAATGGCAGCTGGAAACTTATGCAGAGCTACCTGACGGCAAGCTGGAGTGAGCGGTCCACTAGCTCGGCTTCATCGCAAGCGACCGATCTTAGCAACGCCTGCAAGTCGCACGAGGTCGTCACCGATACCGAAATTCTGTGGACACTGAAAGTAATTACATCCCCTATTCGTACAGATCGACAACACAAACTGGCGACTTGTCAGGTGGCGAAACAATTTTCTTTGACAGTCAGGTGGCGAAACAATTTTCTTGCGGCGAGAAGAAATGTGCGTATGTTGCATGTCATGGACTGAGGCCATTTTTCTTGTCGTGCTTGCGAGAAGAGGTACAGAAGTCCGAACATTACGTCGTACTTTTTGACGAGCCGATGAACGTCTTTCTGCGCGAAAAGCAAATGGGCGTGCATGTGCGATATTGGGACTCGGCACACAAGGTGGTCACTACACGGTACACCTCCGCTTTCGTGGGGCACTCCACAGCAGACAATATGCAGGACGTACTAATGAAGGCTTTGTAGTCTTTGCCACTTGGCAAGATTCTTCAGATATCCGTGGACGGCCAAATGTCAACCTTAAGTTTTTTAGGAACATGCAAGCTCATTTTTAAGAAAACCACCAAGTCCAACGTGTGTTGACTTGGGAACGTGTGGCCTCCATACCGTCCATAATGCCTACAAAGCAGGCGTCACAGCCTTCAAGTGGCGCATCGACATTCTACTGTCAAGCATGAGTGCACTCTTCCGTGACTCACCTGCATGAAGGGATGATTTTTCAACAGTGACTACCCAGAACAAATTTCCTCTGCCGTTTGTGTCCCATCGATGGGTGGAAAACACAATTGAGAGAGCTTTGCTTCTTTGGAATGATATGAAGAAATATGAGAGGAGTAGCCGGCGCCATGCATTGGCACCAACCTCTCCTTACATATTTATTGAAAAAAAAAAAAAAGAAATATGTGGAGTCTGCAAGAAGCAAGCAGGTGAGCCTACCTAAGTGTGCATCCTTTGAAAATGTGCATAGCTTTTGTCGCGACTCCTTAACGCTGGCAAAACTGAACTTTATTCTCAGTGTTGCATTGATTAATCAGCCATTCTTGAACGACTTTCAATCCGACAAACCCTTGATCTTCTTTCTTGGGAGAGATCTTGAAAGTGTTGTGCGGAAGCTCCTTTAGAAATTCATGAAAGCCCCTGTGTTGTCATTGGGAGGAGTTGGTGGTCTGCTGAGGGTGGAGGTTGATAACCCCCTTAACCACATTTCACTTGAAAAAGTGGATATTGGTCGCAAGTGTGAACAAGCACTGGAGGATTCGAAAGCTAGTGCAAAGGATGCATTTCGATTCAGAATGGAGTGCAAGCAATGTTTGGTAGCTGTGACCAAGAAAATACTGGAATGAAGTCTCTTGAAGTCGTCTTTCGGTTCGAAACCTGTCCGCTCTAGACCCCCAGCTCATGTACTCAAAAGCCAGATCAGTGCCTGGTGGGCCTGAAGAAAGGTGCTAGACATCTTGACCATAGCAGGAAGACTGAGTGACAGCCGGCGGGAATGTGTACTTGCAGAGTACACCGAAATGCTCGAATAGTCCAAGCATGAGCTTCGCCTTTTTGAGAGGAGCGTTAGCAGGCTGGACGAGTTCTTTCGCAAACTCTTGAGCTTCCACCCTTCCTACAAAGAGCTATGGAAAACAACCAAGCTCCTTCTTGTTGTTCGTTCAACACGGACAAGCAAGTGTTCAACGGGGGTTTAGCGTCAACCGCCAAATCTCCGTAGAGAACTTGAAGGGCTTGCCGTATATCTTGCAGCGTGTCATATGTGACTTAGGGCAAAGGGCAGGTGGCGTTTTAAATGTCCCCATAACTAAAGAGCTCAGATTGGCTGTGTCCGCAGCGAGGCTGCACTATGGTGCACACTTAGAATCAGAGAAGAGAAAGTGCCAAGAAAATGCAAGTCAGACAAAAAACGCCTGGTTATGGAGGAAGTTTAATGCATGCAGCTGATGAGAAAGAAGCTTGAAGCAGTTGTTGCTGATTTAATGACCTCTGCTGATGGCGTTGCTGAAAAGGCAGAAGCAACTGGTGACATCAAGCATGTAGGTAAAGTCCAATAGCTTGCGAAAGACGGCGAAAGTCAAGATTGATGAACTTGATGGCATTAGGACTCAAATAGAAAAAAAAAAAACTGAAAGACCTGTCCTGAGCTTCCGAACTTCTAGTCTAGTGAAACAGCACATTAAGTGAACTGAACATTCATTCTTTTGTGCTATAAAATTTATCGTGAACTACAATTGTGTTATTTGATTTTGTTGAAAGGTCCTTGAAAAGTCCTTGAATTTTTCGCTTGGAAACCTGTACAAACCCTGGTTAGGTTAACAAATTTGCAAAATGTTATTGGTGAGAGTGATCTCAAACATTAAGCAGGAACATTTAATGGAGGACAAAAATCTGAGAATGAAATATTTTGACGGCCATTTAAAAAAAAGACATCTTCGATTTCTTTTGAACTCTTTAGAATTAAACCAAAGCACATGCTCTAACCTAATTTGAAAACACACGTTGCATTATTTTTGTGAGAACGGAATTACAAAGCGTGAAATGTGGTAAAAATAGGCGTAAACTGAAGTAACCACGACATAGAGTGAGCAGGTTGCCATTATCGATATCTTTAGGCCATGAATTTGTTCTGTGGATGTCTATACATGATGGATTGACCAAGAAAACAGGAACAGATGGTTTTCTCCATGTGATGTCCACATGCATTGTGACTGTAGAAGATAATTGAATTTGATCTTGGATGCAAAGGGTACATTGAATGCATCACATTAGGTTAACTGAGCTGCCTGTATTGCAGTAGCAAACTATAATAGTGACTGGTGTGCCAGCACTGTTTATATTAATTATAGAGTAGCGAATTGCATTGCCTCTTGCACAACCTGTAAGCCTTGGGCTACAATGTCTGCGATGGGCTTACACAAGTTTTAGGGAGCTCTGGAAGTGTATTAAGTTCAGCATTGGTAAAAATGCACCACTTTGCATCACTAGCGGCGTCACTTAAAAAAAATTGAGCCAAAAGAATGACATGTAGACAACAGGTGCTAGCCAAGTTAGTTCCTATGAGAAGTATAGTGGATACCGGCAGTCACACTTTTTCATCACTAAGGTGGTGCCCTAGCCATTCACATAAGTTCGCGTGAAGTGACTGTACACTTTTGAACTTATTCTGGCTCATAGTTCTTGAAGTGTTGCCTTTTTTTAGTGTGTGATTCGTTCTTGCATGAATGCAAGGCACTGCAAGAAAGATGAACTAACCTTTACTGTTGCCAATGTACTCTTGCTCAAGATATTCGAAATGTCAAGCTATTCGAAATAGCCATATGTCAGACCACATGTAAACCCATTTGTAAAGGGGCAAATGTGGATGTCATGCTTACCGTATTTACTCGATTCTACCACACCCTCGATTGTAACGCGCACCCGATTTCCACGACGAAAAAAAAAAAAAACGTAAGACATCGATTGCAACGTGCAGCCATTTTTCTCGCTGGCCCGCACGATCACACCACTCGAAAAAACAACTCCTTTCGGGAGCATCTTTAAATATGAGGTACGGCGAAGCTTGTGCCCATCTTTCGTGTAACAGAGCATTGCCGTCACTGTAGTTTTACCGTGCACCGATGTCAGCACGCGAACTTGCTTTGCCCCCTTCTTCTCGACAGTTGTGGTGCCAGGCATGTCGAAGTAAAGAGGCGTCTGATCGGCATTCCCGATATTCCCAAGCAGGTATCCGTTGTTGTGCCGCAAGTTTAGGACGAACCTCTAAAAACTGTAAAGCTTTTCATCGTACTCCTCCACAAAACTTTTCGCATATGCCCGGTCGCCTTCGAAGGGAAAAGCTTTTTCTCTTCATAAAGTTAGTTAGCCAGCACCTGCTCGCTTTAAACTGGCTCCGCATTAGCCCCTTTTCTATTCTAAGGCTAACTGCATAGCCCGCACTAGGAGCAGTTCTGTCGTCACGGGTTGCTGTGCCGCTCGCTGCTCAAGCACATACTCGCCGAGCAGCTCTTCAATTTGCGGAAACCAACCTTGCTGTGGTCCACTGAAGCCTTTGCGTGAAGCTTTGCTGTCGACAATCTTCTGCTTTTGTTTCCGCCAGTCCCGCATGCACGTTTCGGGAACTCCGAACGACCGCGATGCAGCCCGATTTACGTCCGTTTCGGCACACCCGATCTTTTCTTTTAAAAGCGGCACCGTGGTGCACTCGTCGAGTTTTTGGAGTCGGCCCTTCCATGCCGTCGATACCAATGCACGCCAAGATGACGAACTCCTCAGCACACGTACGAAGTGCCGCACATGGGAAACACATAGGCAGAAATGGCCGACGCGCCATGCCGACGCACGTAAGGGGCGGCCATTTCGGAATGCCGATGGCAATAGAACGACCGTATTCCTTTTTTTTTTTTTGTACTCGATTCTAACGCGCATGCGATTTATGAACTTGCTTAACCGGAAAAAAGGTGCGTGTTAGATTCGAGTAATTACGGTATATGGTATGTAAATTGGTAACTTATTACTTCTGCTTCACCCATACGGTACCCTTAGTGTCGTGTTGCTGTCAAGCCCCTTTATAATAGACACTGATATAAGAGACAAATGGGTGTAAGAGACACCAATGTGCCAATAGTAAAATATTAGCGAAAAAGAAAATGCATACGTGGTGTCCTGCCTATAAGAGACATCTCATATAAAGGAATTGCTGCCCAGAGCATGCCTTTTAAAAAGGGGTTCAACTGTATTCTTTTGGAAATCGCAACATTAGAACTCTTCACGTACCTTTGGCTCGAGTTTCGCCACCTCGAGTGCTCAGAGAGGAGACGCTGAACCACTGTTTCATTCATCTCTGATGGAAGTGTGTTGGCTACTTCTTTATGAATAAAGTATAACGAATAACGTTATACTATCAGATTTTCTTGCTGCACCAAATGGTATTAGGGCAAGAGGGGGGGGGTTATATGAAAGAGTGAAATGCAAGTTTGTTTGCATACATAATATAACTTCGTTCACACTCATAGTACAACTTCGTTCACTCATAAAATACATCTTCGTTCATGCTATAGCATTTAAAGGGACACTAAAGGCAACTTTGAAGTCAGCGTTGATTGTTGAACAAGCGGTCCAGAAACCTTGTAGTGTTACTTTTGTGCCAAAGAAGGGCCTATTTTGAAATAAAATCATGTTTTAATGGCCCGCACAACGTTGCCTGTGCACAACGTTGCCTGTCTTTACTGCGCTAGTAGCAGCAGACCGAAAGCAGCGGGAGCCACTGCAGCAACAACGGACATTGATCAATTGCCCGCTGTTTGCTCCGAGATTGCAGACGTTTTTGGTTCAACTGTGCCCCGCTAGATGGCATCACATGCCCAGTGTACCTACGCGAAAATTGAATTTTTGAACCATTCGTGCCATTCCCCATATCAACGTCCAGTGGTTCTTTTTTCCGTGAATCATACAGAAACGAACAAGCAGCATTTTATTGCATCTCTTGATGCACGGAAGGCTCTTCATTTAGTGCAGCTAGATTGATTACTAGTGATTTATTGTAGGCAGTTCATCTGATGTCGTGGATCATTTCGAAAATGTTCTATTGCGGCGCATGTGCTGTTGCGCACTTACCTTAATTTCTTGGTAAGTAGGGCACTGTTGTTGATAATATTGTCGTTTTAGATGTAGTCATACATTGAGCTTTCACTCTGACGTAAATTGTTATTTGACTTAAGTGTTCCTTTAAAACGTCTGCCCCGCCGCGGTGGTCTAGTGGCTAAGGTACTCGGCTGCTGACCCGCAGGTCGCGGGTTCAAATCCCGACTGCGGCGGCTGCATTTCCGATGGAGGCGGAAATGTTGTAGGCCCGTGTGCTCAGATTTGGGTGCACGTTAAAGAACCCCAGGTGGTCGAAATTTCCGGAGCCCTCCACTACGGCGTCTCTCATAATCATATAGTGGTTTTGGGACGTTAAACCCCACATATCTATCTCTATCTTTAAAACGTCTTTTAGTCTCATGTCCCCTTCTCACTCAAATGCTTACATATAGAAGCTTTGTTTAGTGAAGCTTGTTTGCTTTGCCTCTTTTCTCCTCTTTGCTTTACTTGAACATTGGTGGAGGTTTTTTTGCGTGTGAATCTGGTAATATTGTATGTTTTGTGCATTTTATATTTCAATTAAAGATAGCTAAGTAAGCACTGCCATTGTTATGCTTAGTGCATGCAGGACCACGTCAGGATGCTAACCCTGTTTCATCATGGCCTCTGGCAAAGCCTTGTATAGTCAAAAAGAATAAAGGAAAAAAGTTAAGCTGTTTGTTTAAATTTGTATATTTTTAGCTATGTGTATCTGAACTTATGTCATGTTCTTACATTTTATTTACAATTCATTTGATCTTTAGTGCACCCCACCTGTTGACCATGTCTGTGGACGTCACCAATTTGAGAAAGCTAGAAAAACAAAAGCAGGTGAGAGCAGTGATGTGTCAACTTTTCCATGCCTTAATATACTTCCAAAGACCTTAATATACTTCCAAAGAATGCTAAAGGATTATTTATTAGATTGGTAGATGGGGCTGCTAGAGTTTAGCTGCAAAGCCCAGAAATGATTGCTGTCGTTTACAAAGTGACTTTGAAACTTTTGGCAAAAACTGTACTACATTTATCACTAACAAACACGAGAGCTTGAGCAGTGGCATGTCATTGCAGGAATTGTGTATGGCAGCCTTTTGCTTTTCAAAATACAGTATGCGCATGGCTTTCATCTAACTTTAGGCAGGTTGATCGGTAAAGTGCTGATGTACAAGCCTGCCAAGTCTTGGCAGTGCGATTTCCATAACAAAGATGATGATAATCTTATTTTTCATTACGAGGGGTTCTGGGAAAAGTGCAGATCCTGTCAGATAATATAGCCAATAATTTTTATCGCATGTACATAATTTTTTTAGGGAAGGGGGGTGCTGTTTTCTTTTGCCCTCTCACTGTGACCTTGTATGGCTACGGTAGAAGCTTGCACGCACGATTATTAACTTCATTCGCAGGTGGCTAACCTTCCTGTCCTTGCTCCTTCCTTCCTCCTCCTCTTCATTCACAGGCTCTTGCTGAAGAAATTGCTGCGAGAACAGCTGAAGTGAAGAATCTGAATGCGAAGGACAGGACTTTGCAGCAACAACTTGAAGAGCTGAGAACGGCAAAAGTAAGCTTCATAGTCATTGTGATATATGTACCTTTCGTGTTGAATTGTGTTTTCATTACACTTCTTTTGTTACTTTTATTTGATTCGACTGCTTGTACAAAGCACTTACAACAAACTGTCCTATAAGATGCGCCTCCATTTTAGTGTCTCATCCCCAGTTTTTATGCTGTCGGGCATCAGGAGAAAATAAAGCATACATGGCCTTTTGATTGGTGCTTGCTATTTTCTGTCGGGAATATTCCCCGACCAGGCGGATTTCCGTTGAACCCTCGACTTTGTTTACATTTCTGACACCGAAGATTTTTGATTTTAGCAATTAAGCAAAAATGCAGCTGCTGATTTCACACATGCATGGCCACATTTACTTACTTTTACTGTCCTCTGCTCAAGTTGGCTACTTTTCGGCTATGCTATTTGTTCTCTTTTTGACTAGGCAACCTTGTCTATGGAGGAGTTCATGCAAAGTGAAGTGAATATGTGTTTTAATGCAAAACTGCTGTTTTTAGTCCGATTATTTTGTTGGTCTTGCGAAAATTTCACCCTGCATTGTGGTTGCACTCTCAAGTCTTGACCTTTTTCGATCTTTTGTTCTTTTATTTTTTCTCTTTTTAAGAGAAATGTTATTTTTACGCATGCTAGTAGGTTGCTAATTACGCAACCTGTCTTTACTTTTAATGGTTTTCACTCCATTCACCGACCGTAACCCATGAGCCCGTCTTCAGTGACGGAAACATCAGGGAGTCTATCTTTTTTGTTCCTTCAAGTCAAATTGCCTTTTTTTTCCTTTTTTTTTTTGCAGAAACGGTGGTTAAATGAGCTGAGTCACATTAGACAGCTCAACATGCTGTTGGAGCAGAAACGCGAGGCCCTCGAGGTTAGTGGCATTTTTCTCACTTTGATCGGGCATCACTAAATGTGGACTCTGTTACTTAGTAGAAACACACTGAAAGTGACTGCTTGCTCACCTTGGTGATCTCGTGGTTACGGGGCTTGACTGCTGATCCTAAGATCATAGGATCGAATTCGAGCCGTCATGGCTGCATTTTGGCAGAGGCTAAATGCTACTGTGTGTACTTTATTGTTACGTGACGGGTGACTTCATAGCATTCAGGAAGTGGGGGAGAGGGAGGGAACGAAACAAAAAGAAAAAAAAAACAATGAATTTCAATAGTTTTGGTATTTGATTTTAATGTAAGGATCTACTTCAGGTAGAAAAGACCTGAGGGGGGGGTGGATTCTTGGCACATTCGAGTAAACGCTGTATGAGAGACCCGTGTGGTTAGGTTTAGACCTAAGCACATGGTCTCTAGTATGATGTTTGCTCAGTTTAGACCTAAGTCTGTGTATGAAATTAACACAGGGAAGTATTATTTTAAGGAACCACGATACAGTGGACGAATTTAAGTGGACGTACTTAGTGGCATTTTTCTTCTAAATCGGGTGCACAAAGCGTACTTTTGCCGTGCTGGCCCGGGCTGACAACAGACTTGGCTAAGCTGCTCTCTGCGCACTAAAATCACGGTAATTTTGGGTGTGCTGGCAACATTAGTGGCTTCCGGCCAAGTCAGTCTGAGAGGTCGTTGGTCAAGCCAATGATTCAGATGTTGCAGCTGACTGGAATGAGGTGCAAAGTGATGGAATCATCGCTCAAGGGTGCTCGCCGGTCTCTTGTCACAAATTTATTTTTGGGCTAAGTGTGAAAGAAAGCTTTTGTTTGTGTTTTGCGTTAGACGTTCGTCACTCATTGGTAGGCATCGCGACCAGTATTTTGAAAGTAAAACGATAAGGCAAGTTCCAGTGTAAACTTGCAGTATTAATGTGAGAGTTGCCTTGGTGCTGCTCAGTTCAGAACTCTGAGACCAACTTTGGGTCACCCAGCTGTGTGTGTAAAGGCTGTGCGGGAGCAACAGTTCCCAGCCTCCTCTTAGGCATTTAAGCAGATATGCCTTCTGGTCCACATTTACGAAATAATTTATTCCCATCCAATGAACAGAAGTGGCTGAAAAAGCCTGCAGAGCCTTTACAACCAGAATAAACTTTGCTGCTGGTGCAGGGGCCATCTCTGACATGCTGTAAAGCTCATTAATTAGAATTTGCATTGCAATTTCATTAATAGCCGCTTTTGGTGATTGAAGTCTTTCGTAACCATGCTGCCAAATACATACAGCTAAGTGATATCGAAAAGCTCTTCACGCGGCCATGCCCCCTCCATGCACGCAGGTTGGATATTAGAGACTTCGTACAGTACAGACACATTTTGCCGGATTATGGTGGTCTGTTGTAACGAGACTAAACTGCACTATGTTTCTTGTTGCATGCAATTTTGGTTTGGGTCGTGTACTATGTTTTTCTCTTCCAGCGACTCCGAAACGAAGCCATTGACCTGGACGCGGAGCATCGGAAGGCTGCTGCTGAGCAGCGAAAGATCTGTTCCTGCAGAGTTAAAGAAGCGAGGAATTTCGCCAACAAGCTGCAAGTAAGTTTTTTGTTTTCACAGAGGTGCCATTGATGTTGCATGTCTATATTATCAAGTTGTGCCTTCATAAAAATGGTGTTTATACATGATGTGCATTGTGAAGAAAACGAGTGTTGCCCAAAAGTTTACGTTAACAACTTTGAAGCAAACACGTGGGAATGAAATCCGCTGTGCATTGAAAGGATGCTGAAGTCAAACACGAAAACATGGAGGCGAAAATGCCGTAGGCCCGAAAAAGGTACTGCATGGGCCCCCCTTCACCTAAAGCATTTTTTCTTTTCATTGTTTCTTCAAACACATGACTTGTCAGTGCGATCACCCTAATAGGTTGCGGCCTTTCACAGCGGCCCCAGTAACTCCTGAGTGCACTAAAATGTACGCGTAATGAAGAGTGAACCAGCGTTGTTTGAAGCCTGTGGGCCGAAGAAAACTGTTTTTGGAAAATGTTTGTACAAGTGACATTTTTTTAGAGTTGCTATCTTCAATATTTTTTTTCTCCTAAGGTAGGCCGGCCAGTGTTTTATAGCATGGTTACCTATTACAACATAATGTTTACAATATTGCCTGGCTATACTGTTGGTGTACCTCAAATAAATATCTTTTTAAATGGCCTCGAACTTTCAAGTTTGGCAGCAGTTAAGCATATCGAAAAATTATTATTTAAAAACCCCATCTTCGATTTTATTAAAATCCCACAAAAAGATTCTCGCAGGTCATAAAAAAATAATATTAAGAAACATTTTGCATTATTTTGTTTCCAGCGAGAATATTACAGGTAGAAGTCTGAGCTTTTCGAGGATGCACTAAGGTATCAGACACATGACAAATTGGCCTAAAAAAAGTGGGCTTGAGCTTCTGAGTCATTTGAATGTGAACATATTTACAGAGGAGCAGCAGTATTGATGCTTTTGAGGAATACATGTCTCTAAGGGTGCATTTCTGGTGCGCTTCACTCAGCTTCATTGCTGGAAATGCCAATACACAGCTACACACTCTCAGGCAATGCGTGCATATTTGCGGACAAAGCGATGAAATAAAATGCTCCAACACCAGCATGGGACCTCTGACGGTAGAACATGAACACTTGAAGTGGCCCCCTCCCCTCTTCCCTCTTAAGCTGAGGAATGCATTGAACAAATGCTGCTTGTTTTCCAGATAACTTACAGCAGTGGTTGGCACTAACAATACATGACCATGATCTGTACCGTTAAATGAGCTTAACCAAACGTACCGACAACATAGACTTGTAACACATGGCAACAATGTTGATGAAGGTGATGACGCCTTAAATATGGCTCATACCCACTCAAGAGGATCGGCCAAGAACTGGTTACCTGAGTTAGACCTTTTCAATATTGTAAATTTGTGAAAAAAAAAAATTATGTACAATGAAAAGAGTGTCATAAGTGTTGTTCTCCCGTTCAGACCAGACAGAATAATCATTGTCTTGACTACAACTGTACGTGTTTAAATATAAATTATACCACTAATAATCATAGTAAAAAACATAACTTTTCTTTAATGTTAAACTATTGCTACACTAATAAGACAATTAGCCAGTTCAACTCTCATTCATTTTGTTTTGTAAAGGTAAGCCCGAAACGGTATCAAAAGCATTCTTGTGGCTGAAGCCCAATGTCTAAGCACCGAAGGTAAGTCACTTGACAAATTCAGCCCCAGCTCAGAGAATGGGATAGCAATAAGTCTTAGTGTTCTCTGCCGGGGACATGATTAAAAATAATGTTCTATTGTTTCGGGCTCTAAACAAAAGTTTCATAGAGAAGATATCACCAGACCAGCCCTGTGTGAATACAAAGTTAATGGGGGGACACAACGTAATCTGTTAATGCTACTACTGCACTGAATTTTCCATGGAAACTTTAAATGACTGAACTCTGTCCATGGCATAATTGGTTCTATGGCACCTGCACGAAGGGAAAGTTTTCTGTACTTTATCGCAGTTGTTGTAGCAACACTATGCACTAAAACGATTTTAAAATAACGAATCATTTCTAGGTTGTCAGCATTTGCATAGAGAATTTTGACATTCTTCAGCCATATGGCGATCTGCGCCACAATTTTAGATGCCGGCTTGATCACACTCGAGCTTGCCGCTCTTACGAGGCAGAGTGAGGCTTCGTGCTTTGCTGGGCTTTACTAACCTATCTGCTATTGAAATTGCAGATTTTTATTATTTCCTATAGTGGAAACCGTGTGATATCAATCATTGCCTCCAAGAGGAGGTGCGCATTGAATGGTTGAAGAGGCAACCGGTGGATGGATATGATAAACCGTCTTCTGGTTAAGGCGGTGGCTGCAGCATTACTTAATTTCGATATTCGTTATGCCTCTGTTGTCCCTTTCGGAGTCTATTCCCATTTAAGTGTACTGAACCGAAACATTAAAAGCATGTGGCTGTCATAGCTGCCTCGTACGAGAATGTATGTAACCGAGGTGCCAATAAGTTAAAATCTCAAGCCTCGACCTCAAATGTCAAATTTAGGTATTTTAGAAGGGCATGCTTAAAATGGTCATGTTCAAACGACTCAGAAGCTGAAGCTCACTTTTTTTTTTGGCCGATTTGTCATTCGTAAGCATTATGTTGTAACAGTCATTAAGTTATAAAACACTGGCTGGTTTACCTTAGGGGTAAACCAAAATGTCTGTACAGACTTTTTTTTAAAACTCTTTTCTTCAGCCCACAGGCTTCAAAGAATGCTGCTTCACTCTTAATTATGTGTGCATTTCTTAGAAAAAGACTGTCTTTACGACGTTAATATTTGTGTTTTTATATCATTGTTAACTTTAGAGAATGACAAGAGACGAAATTGGTCTTTTCGTACAGAATAAGTTCGATATTTTTTCCTCCTAAATTATGCAGTTAATAAAAACGACGTTCACTTTCAGGCTATTGGGTGGTATGTGCACAAAATATAAAATACGCAACCAAATCTATAGTATCAACTTTCAGACCCGTGTCAATCTCTCGTGGAATCGCCCAGTAGAACACTCAATGAAATTTTTTGTTGTTAATTTGTTACACATCCGATAATTTGTTACACATCCTTCTTTATTACTTTCAGTGACACTGTGCCGCCACTTGTTTTTTGTTTTTTTTTTCAATTACAGTTGACTCTCAATAAACGCAAATCTGTTAAAGGGAACTGCTGTTTAAATAGAACAACTTCCTCTGATATGATTGGTCTTATACTTGAATGCTGCAACCCATTTCACCTCTCAGTAAACGGAACTCCTGTTAAATGGAACACATTTTCCCGGTCTCTTCAGGTTCCTTTTAATGAGAAGCTACTGTACACTGATACCTAAATATAACGATGTAAATGAAAAATACACTTGCAATAGATATAGTGTTAAGTATTTACCTTTTAACAAGTTTTCAGAGATAACGAACTTATTTGCGTGTACAATTCAACTTTGTCATAATGAGGTCTGAGCGTGGCGGGATGGCGCCTTTGGGCTGCTTGAGGTAGCCGAGTTTGCATAAGTCCTGCACTGCCAACCGTGTCTATCATGCAGCCCTTTATTGTAACGGCTGCGTGCTTTTTCAGGAGTGCCATAAGAAGCACCGCGAGTTTGCCGAGCACCGCCTGGACATGGTGAAAGTTCTGGTGGACCGGAAGAAGGCCGAGGAAAAACTCAGGGTGGTCCAGAACGAGTATTGCTCCTTGGAGGTACGTCGTGGGGCCGTTGAAGCAGAACGTGCCCAGCAACTGGCATAGCAAAAAATTATTCTTTGTAAGGCCATGCAAAAGCACAACGTAACTCGTGGTAAAAAGAAAAAAAAAAAAACAGGGAACGCTTGCTCTATGCCTTTCGTTAGCGTGCCGGCTTTGTAACCATTAGTTTTCGTTAGTGTCGATTCACAGCTTTCTTAGTTTTCACAAACGCCAGGATTGACTGTGTTTTCTGAAGATCCTAGTAAACAATTGTTAACTCTGCGCAACTTTGTGCTCTGTCTGTTTGGTGTGCATTGTGCGTTGTCTTTTATTAATTTCACCCGGTTCATGATCATTTACTAAATCTAGCCCCTCAAGATGTTCTAATTTTCTGATCGAGCTGGTGAGAATCCTGCTGCCAGTGGTGGTGTACTACTGTTGATCCGGATATATCAAACTCTGACATATCGAATTATCGGCTATATCGAACAGTTGAGAAATCCCCTTGATATTCACATGCAAAGGTACGGGATCGGTGCACCCTTATATCGAACTCCAACTCAGCGGGAAATCCGCTATATCGAACGCTGCGCCGCACCGAAGTGCAGGAAGTGCATTTTTCCTAGAAAAATGATAAATTTTGGCCGCACACTAACAAGTTTCAATCATTTTTCGCGCACAGGAGATGGAAAAGGCAGTATTGTTCTATTGTGCCGATCTAGTTCGCTGTGCTGCACTTGTTTGTGCACTGTTATGTTTGATGTGTGATCTACAGGCCTTAACGCACGGGCATGGTGTTTTTCAAAAATACTGATTGCCGAGAACCAAAATGAGAACCAAAGATTGCCAAAATGAGAATGTGAAGTGACTCAGGTGATCTCGTTGCAATGTTCGCATTCCCTTCATAGTTGGCGCAAAATGTCATGCGAGCCTGAAAAGCATGACCTTCGAGATGTGCTACCTCATGGCATTTTTTTTTTTGTGTGTGTGTTTTCATTTTTAAAACCCATGTCTTAGAGGCTATACTTTTTCTAGCTTTTCACATCAAAGCAGCTGAAAGCGGCGGCTGCCAGATTGCAAAGCCACAAGTGCACATCAATATCGCCAACATCTTGACTGTGGAAACTTTCGCGTTGTGTTTCGCACCTTGTGGACTTGTGTACTTCTCGCCTCGTTCCTGATAATTCTCATTCAGGAGCTGAATGTTCACCCGCATGCAGCGATAAAAATTGTGACTGGCTCTTGGAGCGACGTCAAGCCAAGCTGCTTCTAAACTTTCCTTGCGGGCCAGGTGACGACTTCAGGTGTGTCATGAGTCATGACCACTGACAACGGTGTTAGGTGCCTTAGTGAATTCTGTGACTTATCAGCGTTTCCAGGCAAGGCACCATCTCGGACAGCATAACTCCATCGGTGCAGACGATGACATAACTGTTTCTGATTTCATCGATGCTGAGATCATGGCTGCCTTTGCCGGTGCCACGGGAGTGTCCCCGTGCGGTTATGATTATGCCAACACTATCACTGCTGCCGGTAACCAACCTTTTGCCACGCTACAAAGCTTCCGTCAATGTTCTGTGTCAATCAACACTGTTGCGGCTGAAGGAAGTGAATTCCCTTATTTGAAAGGCTTCAATGAAATTGAGCATGACTGTAACTTGACGGCACGCTAGAAGTAAGACAAGTTTATGGACTATTTTCATGCGAAATGAAGAGCGGTGACTTGCAGTTCAGACCTTGTTCTTCATTATACTGTGAGTGAATCGTTATGTTAGCACTTGTAACGATTTCCGAGGCCTCAAATGCTTTAATCTAGGCCTTAAATACTCATATATTGTATTTCAAATTATCAATATATCTAACTAGGCCGCGATACTCTTCGAGTTTGATATATCTGGTATCGACTGTAGTTACCGTGTAAGACTTTTTTTTATGCTTTGAAACCCCAATTACACGACGGATTACAGGCATCGTGTAATCGAAAAACTAAGAATACAGGCTGTGACACTCATCCTTGCACAAAAATGAGACTTAGTTCTTGATTGCCCATCATGCAGAATCGAGTGAAGAGCATGAAGGAGGATTTGCTGCGGCTGAAGCGAGAGGCCCAGAAGTAAGCTGAAGGAGGCCCAGGAGGCCACCAAATGCTCTTCCAGTACTCTCACCATCCCACCGGACGTGGCAAAGGTATTGTAAGGTGGCAACACTGTCTGCCACATTCATTACCTAAGGCTATACCCGTTGTTCACCAAATACATTCGAGTCCACATATAACGGCCCCACTTAAAACGAACAATATCCGCATGACCGTGAAAATATACATTGGTTCAATGGCACAAAATCGCACTTACAACGAAAGTCTCTGAGCGCCGCTGATCGGTCACAGCGAACAAAGTCAGCGGTCTGCCGACTTCCCGGGAAACCAATTTCGACCATTGATCAAGCATCGGCGAGGTGCCCATACATTCTTATTGTGAAATGCCAACAACCATGCCTCCACGCCCCTCTAGTTGCCGCTCTCCACGACCGCTTTTGTTACGCACCCCTCCGTCCTTTGTCTCCCACTCCCTGCTACTCTGAGCATTCCGCATCGCCAGATGAGGCCTGTCTTTTCACACTGCGACCGATCTTTCGAAGACCGGTCGGCCATCTACCCCGTTTTTGATCGCTGGTACTGTCGATGTCGCCGGCCTGGAGTGACCAGACCATTTGCCAAAATCGTCGGCCACCGACTGTATCCGATAGCCTGCGTCTAGTGCACGCGCGTACGCTACCCCACCGACTCTGATAATTTGCGATTCGTTTCGTGTTTAGGACTTGTTCTCGCTCACGCGCGTGCGGAAGCGCGAAAACGGCTGTTAATTTGCTCGGAACAAATCTCTAAATATCGAAGTTCGTGAGGCCACGCAAACCCCCCGGCGCAACAAGACGATTTTTGACCACGGCCGCTGATTCTACGAACACCGCCGCGCGCACCGATTCAGGCGGCCATGCACTCTTTCCAAGTTTTTCTACGTGCGAGTTTCGCGGACCTTTCAAGCAAGCTACTCAACCTGCCTCCTTCCCGTGCATTTTGTTTTTCAAGGTCGCCCTCTCGCCGCATCCTCCCCTCTCTTTATCGCAACTCCTTGCACTTCTCTCGCAAGTCTGCTCTCCTCTCTTGATCACAACCCCTTCGCCCGTCTCCACCACTCCATAACGCCCGCCACGCTGGCTCGAATTAGTTTCGTTTTCTGACTGGAAACGGGCCCAGAGCTGTTCCACGCATTCTGGCATGTGTGTCGCGTCTGTGCGTCTTGCTCGCTCTTGGTGTGCGTGTGTGGTCATGATGGCCGACGGGAGGACTAGCACGCTTTTTTCCTGCCGCTCAACAAAACGTCAAAAGTGTGACCGCTTGGCTTGAGCGTAATCTGCGCGTTAGGTGCCGTGTTGCGGAGCGCTTGCTCATAGCTGTGGACCACCTGGCAGCCAACTTGCCGCTTCGGGCATCCCCGTATGCAGCTGTGGAGATGGTGAATATTTCGTGGGCGGGGGTGATGGCTACATGCGCGCGAAACTGTTTTCGCGAGGCCGACTTTGTCGACGTCGTGCCCGATGCCGAGCCTGAAGCTTCCGAACAGGACCACTGCGGCGGCGATTTGTGGCAGCGCGTTGTCGAATCTGACCTGGAGAGAGCGGGTGGGACATCTGTTGCCATGGTTTAATTACGGCCGATGATGATGCCGACACTGCGGAACCGTGCACGGATTAGGGCATTGTGAATGAAGTACGTGGCAAGAATGATTTGAAGGAATCGGATGGCGAGAATGACAAAACTTTGGAGCCAGTGCCTCATGCAGCTTATGCCACGGACCTCGGCGAAGAGCACGCTGCCGTTCGAAATAAACTCGAGACTGCCCTTATCACTTCTGATATTCGAAACACGTGCATCACGGACTTTTGGGGGCGTAAAAAGTTTGTGTTTTCATGCACAACTTTTTTTAAAGCTGTGTTTCGTTTACTACGAACTTCGCGATACAGCGAATGGATGCCGCGTCACGCTCAGGTTCGTTATGAGCGGGCTCAACTGTATACTAGTAGCAAAGCCAGGGTTCAGAGTGTAAAAAATAAGGAAGAAACAGTGACACCGCACCATGCCCACTTGATCATCTCAGTTTAGTTTCAGCTCAAGAAGCTGAATGTGCATAAACTGTACGTAAATGTGGAAAGAATTTGGTGCGTTAGCTACTAATGAACTGAGGAGGTCAGCTGTCCTTAGCATTACTGGGGAGTTCTTCGAAAAGAATACCATTGGTATAGAGTCACTCCGAAATGCAAAGAACATCAGTGCGGTTAGATTCGGGTACACATTGAAGAACATTGTCCAAATTATTGCGGAGTCCCCCACTTTAGCATGCCTCATAACCATATCATATGATACTTAAAATTGGGTCCCCTGGTGCAGACATGGCATCATCAACATTCTCGCAACATGACAGGAAAAAATCTGTTGATGCCGTAGCATTAAGATATGCTGGCATTGGCCATACAAACGAGAACGGGTGTGGTGTGCTTGTTTCTCATTAGGCTCGTGTGCTGCCATCGCATGAATTGCAGAAACTAAAACTTATTCCTAGGGACAAGTACCGTCAGGGCAAATTACTTAGTTATTATCTTGCAGGAATTCCTCAAACTTCCAAACACAGCTGCGGAGATCACCAAGAAGTTGCACGAGGAAGAAGTGAAGCTGAGCTGTATGCTTCCTGTGGACCTTTCGGTAAGAAGCAGTTGATTATGAGAGGCATCTTCTTTCTTTATAGGTTGCGGCACAGGCATCCTATAGTTGCCTTTAAAGGGGAGACATTGTGTTAAAGACTTCGATTTTAATGATTGCAGCTGCTACTATCTACTTCCTCAACTGTGCGCAAGTGAACTGTACCCTGTAGCCTAGGCACAATAAATGATACTAGATTGCTATAACAAAAAATTGGCCCCGTATCTGCATGTAATCTGCAAATGTCGTCGAAAGAAAGTAGTCTTGCGTGTGGAGAGAGTGAACAAAACATTTATTTGATGTTCTGCGCAAGAAAATAGGTGAATGGTATTCCGGAGGCGCTGCTTTAGAGTGCCTCGAGCGGGCAGCGGAAGGTTCATGAGCACATCAAGTCATGTCACACGTAGCCATGAGCGCCATCTGGCAGTTTCTTTTGGAAAAAAAACACGTGGCCGTGCGCGCCCGTCTCAGAGGTGATAAGCTGTAGAACGCGCGAGGCGACGGGTAGGTGTCACCACCATCTCGTCTTAGCAAAGCGTTGGAAACACTTCCCGTTCCGTGCAAGCGTTGCATGGTAAGCGCAGCGTTAATAAGCGCTACGGTCCTTAAAATTACTTATGTATGCGTTTTCTAGGTAAGAGATGCATATGCAGAATATATGCGTGTTGTTATGGTGCCCCAGACATGCTCAATAATTGCTTTTTAATTGACAATTGCACAAGCATGAACGCTCAACCTTGAGCAGTATTGGTGGTCGCTGCGGATGGGGTCCGCCGTTTCAAGTACCCGATGCTGGTAAGAGTGGACAAGCAGACAAATGTACAGACAGACAGACCAAAATTTTTGCGTCGAAGGTCCCCAAGAAAAACTATCGTCTTTAAAACTCCCACCTGTAGTTCAAGTATTCACGTATCCCATGTAATCCCATATCCAAGTACTCCACCATAATGATCACACCCCTAAATTTGTATCGATTTCTTTTTTACAAAGAAAGCGCAATTGTTATGCAAGTAGTAGAACTCGTTGATATGTTAAAAAAGAAACTGCTGAAAATAATCTCACGATCCTAGAAAACTTGCGATCCGAATCCAGCAAAAAAGGAGGCTGACAAGTCATATTGCCACCGTAATAAATTGAGTACAAGTGACAGTGCAGGAAACACTGGAACAGCTCTGATGATGATGATGAGCTCGGATGGATGGCGCTCACCCACAAAGGGGGATGGGCCAAGAACCGGGCGGTAAGATACTTAAATGAATCTAATCTGAAAATTTGGTTTAGAGACAAAGCCGTGTATAAATACAAATGGTTCCTGAGCAAGCAGTCAAACCATCTCTTGTTCTTGATAGACATAACTACGAATTATAAATTCGAGCAGTGCAAGTTACTCCTTGTCTTTCTCCTGCCAAATTCTTCGTCACACACAAGTAATGATGAAACTAGCCACGCAACAGCCAGATACCCACTACACACCTGTGCCATTACTCCCCCACTCCAAAAGCATCAACTTGATGCTTTCAGATGTCTGAAGGCAAGAGCAAATCATCAGCGTGAGTAATACGGCTTCATCCTGGCCACGTGGTCGATGTCTGGCTGTGCACCATGACGGGAGGTCCGCGCTCTAGGCTCGGTGATAACTTCGTAGTTGACATCGCCAAGGCGCTGAAGAACCCAGTAAGGGCCGAAATAACGGCGCAAGAGTTTCTCCAAGTGGCCGCGCTGGCGTATGGGACTCCAGATCCATATTTTTTTCTTCGGGGTGGTAGGTGACTTCTCTGTGATGAAGGTTGTACTTGTGAGCATCGTATTGTTGCTGAGAGCAAATGTGCAAGCAAGCTACTTGTCGAGCTTCCTTGGAACGCTACGCATACCGGTCAGCATTTTTGGTGGTGGTCGCAAAGGCGCCAGGTAGAAGTATGGCGTGTAACATCGTAGTAACTTCGCGGCTTTAAAGCAGGCAGTAAGGTGTAAATCCTGTAGTTTCTTACATGGCTGTGTTATATGCAAAAGTTACGAAAGGGGGGCACTGTCCCAGTCCCTATGGTTCACGTTGACATACATGGAAATCATGTCTGTGATGGTCGTATTGAGCCGTTTTGTTAAGCCGTTAGCTTGCGGATGGTAAGCTGTCGTCTGGCGATGTACGGTGCCGCTGAGTGTCATCACTTCATCCAGCAATTGGGCGGTGAAGACCGTGCCTCTGTCAGTAAGAACCACGGCTGGTGCACCATGGCAGAGGACGACAGCATGAATGGAGAAGTCTGCGGCCTGCTGTACCACATTGGAGTGCTCGTGTTTTGCAGTAACGGGTGAAGTAGTTTGTCTCAATTATTATCCAATGATTACCCGCTGAAGATTTCGGAAATGGACCTAGCAGGTCCATGCCAACTTGTTGAAACAATGCGGGTGGCTCCACAGGGTGTAAAAAACCAGCAGGTTTCATGGGTGGAGTCTCGCAACGTTGGAAGTCTCTGCAGGTTTTGACATAGTGCTTGAGGGTGCGGGACAGTTTTGGTCATTAGTATTTGGGGCGGATATGAGCCAGAGTGCACTTGAACCTTTAATGCCCGGATGATGGTTCGTCATGGCACGCCTTGAGGATGTAATCTCGTATCACAGATGGTACGACCAGTAGGGCGGTTTAAGCGTTGGGATCAAAGCTCCGCTTGTACAGGATGTTGTCACGGAGAAAAAATGATGAAATCGCGCACCTGAATGTTTATGGTGGCTGTTCAAGCTTGTACTCGAGATAGTCGATGAGTGGGCAAACTTCTGTGTCATCACTGTTTCTGAGCCGAGTTAGAGGCTGTGACGGCAATGAGGAACTGTTCGTCGTCAGTTTAGTCAGAAAGAATCTACTCGACTGGGGCATGTGATAGGCAATCAGCATCGGTGAGCTTGTGTCCCGACTTGTAAACCACAGTAACGTCTAATTCTTGTAGGTGGAAGCTCCATCGGGGGATGCAGCATGAGGGGTCTTCGAGGCCTGCAAGCTAGCACAAAGAATGGTGGTCGGTGACTACTTTGAACGGCTGCCCATACAATTACGGAGGGACATGGTATGGCCCACATGACGGCTAGGGAGATAAGTGTAAGAGAAAAAAACATGTTTACTTGCGTAATGAGCGCACTTTTTTTCTCGAAAAATTGGAGTGAAGTTGGGGGTGCATTATTATGCGGGGCAAATTTTATGAAAACTTTTTCAGTGTGAGCAAAAAAAAATGTTAGGTCGCTCAGCTTCTTTGTGTCACTTCACTCGTCTTCGGTAATTGAAGGCGCTATCTTCTGCAAGTTATTCCCGCGCCGCCCGTGCACACCATAAAAGCGTTTCGCGGCTATCTATTTTCGCAATCCTTTAACCGCAACAGTGGTATCTGCTGTGATCTCGAAGGGCGCCACCAGAAGCGTGCTCTACGACGCCACTACACACTTTGCCAACTTCGTGGCAACCTCGCATGACGACCACACCACCGTCGTTGACATTGTTGCAAGTAACCAACTTTGCAGCAAGCTACCACCGAAGCTTCAAAGCAAACTGTCAATAAAAGCAACAGAATGGGGCGGCTGCCTCGATTGCAACTGAAACGAAGCGACTGAAGCGACGATTGCAACTGAAGTGAGAATCGGGGACCATGTTGCAGAAATAGTCACAATATTTTCTAGGCGACAAGTTATTTCTTCCTGGTTTTCCAAAAACCTGTGATGCGATGGCGACAGATGGCCCTTTGCGACAGCCATAGCGGTAGCGCATGCCGTCATTTTCGCTTGAAAATTGCTTGCATGTAGTTGGGCCTTAAAGTTTTGTATTTGCAGGAAGCGACCGTCGGTTAAAGCAGAAAGTTTCGTGACCTTCACTTGTTCCGTTGTGACGTCTCTACACTTGCACCATTCATAAACACCGCTTTGGCGAATAAATATTGAAAAAAATACTGGGTATGTGCCACGCACAAATAGAAAGAAAAACTATACGGTGCGTGGCAGCGGGCAAATGGGGGGAGGGAGATGCAGCGAGCCGAGGTGGCTGAGCGGAGTCGACATAATAATAATAAAGAATGGAAGAGATTCAACGAGCAAGGAGGCGCCAGGTGTCAGTTAGCAGGACTACAGCAGACGAATGTATGGAATGCATTTATTATGCGAGTAAGTTCATTACGGGGGTAAATATGATGTTTCTCAAAGAACATTCTAATTTTTTGCTGTTGCTTCTCACCCTTGGACAACAAAAACTCCTTCTGCACGCATTGCAGACCATTGTCCGCATATTCATTGTTTTTCTTGCGAAAGAAGCTCTCTTAAACTTTCATTCAAGCAAGGGCTTCGGCAAAGTTATCCGGTTGGTGCACACTTTATTCTCGCCACCGTCTTCTGCTGCCTTGTTCCCCACATCCACCGCTGCAATCTCGGCGACACTTTGCGGCCTGCAAGTCAGGATGTTGTCGTCTATCGAGACGAACTCGGCGCAGGGTGCGTCGGTCGAGAGGAACTCCTCATCGATGTCGTCGTAGATGACAGACGCGCACGCCACAGGGTCATCTTTGCTGCGCTCTGTATCCTCTGATGCAAGCTGCTGCTGAAAACCGCACTTCCTGAAACAACTGCTCCTTAAGCGCACCACCATCAGAGTTAACTCTGGAGGGCCGTGCTTCCTTAGACTACTTTAACACCGCCTTCTTCAGCTCCCCATGGCGAGCTCCATGGGCTTGCTTTGCTGCGCTGTTGAATACCAAAACGTACGTCTCGATCTCTTTCCGCTTTGACACTACCATGTTCAGAGTAGATGCTGGCAGTCCAAGTTCGTTCACTATGTTGATTTACTTCCGGTTCAGGTTACCTGTTGACAACCGCCAGGTTATTCAGCTTCTCCTTAATCGACAAGGGCTTGCACTTCCTTGATGCCATGCTAGGCGTAACTCGAATCACGAACTATGCACACAGAGCAACATGCTGTCTCGCACAGGATCTGGCGTGGCCTGCATATCCCTAAATCGTTCGGCATCGATGTCAGAGTTGAGAGTGGTCTCAACCGGCCGTGATATCAGTTACGTCGTTCTCTGCGCCGTAAACCATGTGCGTCATTAGCTGTGTTGTGGGTGACGTCGTCCATGTCGTCGCTGTCGTGGTGCAGTGCTGTGGAGAGCCTACTCAGGTATAGGCCACAGACTACTATCGCAGAGCGCCGACAGTTAAAAGGTGAAAGAGCTCGCCTTCGCCAGCTAATGGTACAGTACAGGCATGAACAGGCATGAAAACAGGCCCGGGACGCTGAGTGCCGGCAGCAACTATGTACCGATGTTCCCGCAGACATACAGGCCATGCTAAATCTTGAAAGGCAGTGTGGTACAGAAAATAACGGGTATTTTTGAAATCTGTTTGAAAACTGACGGATCAGACGGGTCTCCTTGTGAAACAGGGGGGACTATTGAATGCAGCGAAGAAATCGGCGTCGCCGTGCGGTGGCAGTGTGCGACTTGACGCTTCGCAAGGACACGAGAGCATTTTTTTTCCACACCTGAGTAAGAATTTTTGTCCGAGAAACATATCATACAACCGCAGTTTGCCGAAGTGCCGAACATCTGCCAAATAGTCGTACTTTCTGGGAACGTATTAAGTGGAACATATTAATACATAGCTCTATGGGGCGTTTTTTATCATTCGCGATTTCGAGAGTAGGAGCCGGGAAATCATATTAAGCGGGACTGGTCAGTGAGGTTCTACTGTAAATACAGTGCTTGTTTTTCATGCTTGCTGACCTCCTCAACCGCAAACATTTGCAGGTTGAGAGTGAGCACCATCAACGCAAGCGGGACATCGAGAAACTCGAGGCAGATGTGAAGGGAAATGAGACGCAGCTGTCTGAACTGGAGACCGAGATGGAGGACACCCGAAGTCGGTGGCTGCCAAACATCGAGGAACTACTTCAGCGGATAAATGTTGGCTTTGGCCGCTTCTTCCGTGCCCTGGGATGTGCAGGCGACGTACGTACGGTCATCGTTTACTTTTTTTTTTCCCAGCGAAGCTCATTCATGGGTTCTCAACTCGCCTAAATGTGCTAACAGTTGTTGTATATATTGAATTAAATGTACACTTGTGGCTGCTTAGTTGCTGCGGAGTTATGCAGTTGGACTTGACGTAGCGGGTTCAAATGCAGCAACGGTGCCTACACTTTGAATGGGCCAATATGTTAGAATGCTCATGCACTTATGGTTGTATGCAAAATAGCCCTCTCACGACCGAAAGAAATGGAGAAAAAAGAACAAAAAAATGGCAACAGGCCAAACATTTTTTTGCTTATCTTGTTTTTGTTTTGTTTTTTTTTTACTGTATAAAACGTTATCAATATTTTAATAAAGTAATGCTTATATTTTGAATTGCGTACAAAGATACTGCATGCGCAGTATCGCAGGCGGCAATGCAATGAAAGTCATGATGCCGTATGAAAAAGAAAAATAGACTCCACGGAAAAAACATGCACAAACGGCACCATCTTGCATTGAAAATAACATTACTACAGCCGATATTGCTGCCATTGGTTCGGCGTGGGACCATTTTTGTTGACAACGAGTACAGTCATTACCGGTCCTACAGTTCGAAAAATTTCACGGTTATACTCTTCAACGGTCATGAGAGGGTTAATTAAAAAAGGCAGGAGAAACCACACTTTTATGACTGAAGCATGGCCGCTGATTGCCTCAGTGACTAAAGAGGTAGTCCTGCACGTTTTCTTAACCATGGTGTCGTTCGGCTTATAACACAACATAACATAACACCAAAGTGCTCACCCTTTGGTGCAGACCTCGTATTCATTTACCTTGTGGAGGAAATGCTACTGTATTCTAAGGTTGTGCCTGACTATAAATATAAGTGCGCCTTCACCCTTTAATGGCCAATTTAACTTCCAAAGAACGTACCAAAATTAAGATTTTTTTTTAGCAGTCACAATTATTGAATCAAGTTTTTTCTCCTGTTCACAACAGAAAGGAAGCAGAAGTTAAAGACCATATGGCTTGATAAAGGCTTCTGCTCCTGCAACAGCTCCACTCGCAGGCCATATACGTAGGCACACAAATCAATACAACAATGTACGTTACAGTACAGAATCAATAGATATGCTCACCACACACACACAAAAAAAAAAAAAAAAACGTGTACACAGGAAAAAGTTGAAAAATGTGACAGTCATTGAACGAAAACCTGTGTGTACAGGAACACTTTAAAAAATTCTATATGGTTTAATTAAAAATTGTTTTGCCTTGGACAACTAAAATCTAGAATTAAGACAAAGTAATTGACAATATATAATGTACTTTATTTCAATGCAATTATTTCTATGCAATGCTGATTTTGAAAATATAATGCATCATTGACCTTCTATTTATAATTAGGACAGGAATTAAAAGAAAAGGAAAAACTGGCCAGTTAGTGTGGCATTACCTCAGTGCATGCCATGGTAATGGTTCAGAACGTACTCAAAGTCAAAGTGTTTATTTGATTCAGTACACGGTAGCACACTAAGAATCGTACAGACGCTGCTTCATCGCAACAAAAGTTTTCAGGACTAATAGTCTCTCTTTGTGTGGTAGATTTCGAAGCAAACGCATGAGATGTCACACAATGTCTCGTCGTCATCTGAAGCAATGTCCAGGGTAACGACGATGTCAGAGTTGCTGTCGGATGCAAATTCTGGGTCATCACTAGTGCTATTTTTTCTACTGCTCTAAGATGCACCTCGTTTCCCCGTATTTATTACGTGGGGGGGGGGGGGGAATCTAAATGTTGACGACAGAAGTTGGGGATGCGTTCATAATGCGAGTGTGTTCATTATGCGAGTAAATACGGTATTAAGAATGTGAAACATCCGAAGCACGAATGTGCATCGTCGCTTGCAATTTTTCGTCTCGCTAGCACTAAAAGTGTGGCTTAAAGTGCAGCAGAGTGCAACTAACTTTGTCGAGAATCCCTTCACTTGTAAATGCTTGTTCATCTTGCGCTAGTTTAGGGAAGTTTACATTATTCATGAAAGTTTTGTTAATACTGCACTTTGGAAGGGGGGGGTTGACTCGTAGTTTTAAGTCGCATCTTTTCATGTGATACCTGTTCTTGAAACTTTTCATTATTCCGTCTCTTTCGTGGTCCCTTTCTAGCTTGAATTACATATCAATATGCAGCCATACCCTCTTTCACAGCAGTGATTAGTTCTCTGCTGTACAGGCAGCGTTATCTTTGGTTGAATGCCAAGGTTTCTGCGTGCACAGGTGTCCCTGTACCAGGGTGAGCAGGCGCACCAGTACGATCAGTTTGGTGTCAACATCCGGGTGAAGTTCAGGGATCAGGAGGCCCTCGCCGAGTTGTCTGCAGCGCACCAGAGTGGCGGTGAGCGGTCGGTGGCCACGGTGCTCTACATGATGGCGCTGCAGGAACTGACAAGCGTGCCCTTCCGCTGCGTCGATGAGATCAACCAGGTAAGCAGGCCCAGACTTGTCTGACATATAAGGCTGGACATTGAATTATTGTCTGACATATAAGGCTGGACATTGAATTATTTCGAAATCTGGGACTCCAGGCATGTATTCTGCGCTCCTAAAAAAGAACTTAAGAAAAAGCAAAATAGTTTAAAACTTAATTAATCCAAATTTGATTAAAAGAGTATTGCTGTAGATATCCATTTTGCCACCGTTTAGGTGACATTAGGCAGTGCTAGTTCGTGCTGGTTGGAAGTAGGTCATTTTGGTAGTTGAATTTGGTTAGACAAATGTTCAAACGTCATTATAATGAAGTTGGTTCTTATAGTAAAAGTAATGTTGTTATGTTCAAGGGTTCGCTATAAACATGTATTTGTATCACTATCTCTGACTAGACTAATATTCATATACATTGCATCAAGATTTGAGTGTACTTGGCAATGGGGGTTGAAGAAACAAGGGAGAACATTGCTTCCAAAGGTTAGCAGGACCGATGGGTCAATGTCCCGGTTCGATTTGTGACCACTGCGGGTACACTTTAAGAGGTGCCGAATGAAACAAAGCTTGTGAATTTAGATTTAGGTACACACTTAAGAACTTAGGGCTGTAAAAGTAGAAAAATTTTCTGGTTGTGTTTTCTCGTCGGGAATTTTTTAACAGTTTGACGTGCCTGGCTCGGTGCTCATTCTCAGGAAAAAGCTATTTTTGAGCGTTGTGAATTTTATTTGCTCTTAGGTAGCTGAATGTGAGCTGACATGCTGGTAAACACGAGAATGTGGTGTGAGTGTCCAAATATCGTCTCAGTAAGTTCACTGGGGTATTGTCACATTAGAAACATGCAACATTGTTCAGGTAAGCTTGTATAATATCGCTTAGGTAGCAACTTACCTGCACATGTTTAGTCTCAGGGGTCAGGTGCCAGGAAACTTATTACGAGGCATTGCTGCACACTTCTTCAAATATTACCTCACATCTTTCAATATTACTGTTTAGAGTTATTTCGCCATCATGGTCTTGGCTTGACCTCGGAAACTAAGCGGCTGTTGGCTGCGTTACATCGAAAAGGTCTGTTATGCATTATATGTAATCCTCTGTTTTTCCTCTTGTTTGTCGTTCCAGGGAATGGATTCTGAAAACGAGCGTAGGGTATTTGAAATGATAATGAACACTGCCCGACAGAACTCCGCCCAATATTTCCTGCTCACTCCCAAGGTGAGACCTTGTGAAATTCTCAGCCAGGTGTTGCTTTAAAAGGGTTCCTAATGCTCACCTTTACACTTTGAAAAAATGCATGCTGAAAAAAGACACTCAATCTTCATTGTAACCACATGGAATATACACTCAAAGCACATTATAACGAAGTTACGTATTACATCTTCCACGAAAGCAAGTTCGCTATATATCTGAAAATGCAGTTATAAAAGGTACAATCGTAGCACTGTATATATTGCAAAAGTATTCTTCATTTACTTCGTTAGTAACTAATATTTTGTAGGCATGTGCGAATAGTGATTTTTCACTTTGAAGTGAATGCGAATCGAATCGTAGTTACTTCGATTTGAATAACTTTAAAGCGAAGCAAATATTTTCAAATTGAAGCCAATACCTGGGAGACAGTTCATGAGTGAAAAAGTGATCCAATGAACTACATTACCTTGTTACAAAATCTTGGCTAGCTGTTTCATCTACTAAATAGTTTTACCCTTCATCATAGTGGGGATCAGAATTAGACACACATCAGACACTTCATTTTCAATTTATTAGCACTCACCTGCATGAGTAATACCCTCGATAGAGTACCCTTAGAATAAATAAAAATAAATAAATGTCGGGCCTGGCTTCCTAGTGCGACATTTCCCGAGGTGGAAAATAGCCTCTCACTGGACACTTTAGTCGCTGTCACTGAGAAGAGCCGAGCTATCTTGGAGAGGGAGGGGTACTTGCCTTGGCAGAATTTTTCCACCGCAGGAAAGGGTTGTCCAAACAAGGCTAAACAGGTTCATGAAGGGACTCCTCCACCTCATTTTCCAATCTCTCGTAGCCAGTTGGTGCAATACTGGAACCAGCCAAAGTTCCAGAAATGCTCTACACATCATTCATTGCTTGGTAGCTTCTGCAGATGCACTGATCACGCTCGGCTCCTCTTCATCAATGGGTTGAGGCTGGCTCTTTTCCAAAACTGAGCAGAGCTCGCTCTTTAACCATTGTGTCGCATAAGTGGCATCATAGAGCACTGCCTTAAGGGAGGACGCGGCTTTCGTATAGCGAAAAGTGACAAAAAAAAATCAATTTTTTGAAAATCAAGTTGTTAGTTTCTAGAACCCTTTTTTTCTGATTCCAAAAATATCTACTCTGAGAACCACTTAGAAGTGCTTCGGGAAATTGGTTTCACCTTCCTAGGTAGTGAAAATTTGTCTGGAAATCGCCAGAAAACATCAATTTTCATATACTAGCATCGTGATGGCGCGGCCAGGAGTCGGCTTCTTGGGCTCACTGAAAAAAGCCTTTCTCTGTGTTTGAATTTCCCTCCTCAGCTGACTCCTCCCTTTAAAAACAAGCGCACAAAAAGCAAATGTTTGAAGGTCGTTTCAAAGCCCCTCATTGGCTGTGGCCGCCATGTTGCCCCAGCTCGCCTCGCCATTGGCCCGATGCTCGCTCCGGAAGATGGTTGTTGCTTGTTCGTCGCGAGGAAATGGCGGTTAAAAATCTCTACTTCATGACGTGTTCACAGCTCGACAATCACTTAGGATATAATTACGCTTTAGTTAGAAGCTGTAAGAGAGCTGTAAGCGGATGCTCGGGCAGATTAATACGAGCAGGCGCGCGGTCTACAAGCGCGGCGCGTCATCGAAGTCATCTTTAGGCCTAACTCCGCTGATGACGAGACGAAATTTGGGGTAAGAAAGACGCGCTAATGCACTCGAAGCAACATGCTTTTTCGCAAGCAACGAAGCACATTATTCGCTAGCTCCTCGGAATCGCAGGCGGGCATTTTACGCAATGGCAGCGAATCCCATAGTAAAGCTGTGCAACCTTTGAACTGTGCAACCTTTGCAGTTGGGATTTCGGCGCGCTGACTGTCACCTTTTAAAGTATGCTTCAAGAAATTGCAGCTCGCTGTACTTGCGTCTGCTGTCTTCGTGCCTGTCGTCTTTTTGGGCCCACTCACCGTTTTTTGAGCTTTTGGCCGCACAGAGCTTCTTAAATTGCTTAAATGGATTAGAGTGACGCTTTAGGTGATTGAGGAGGGTGGTTATACTGCCTTTATGCGTTTTAAGGCGCATCTTACATGTGCGCAAGTCGCGTCACTGGCCCCATTCTTTGAGAACTCCTAGATGGCCTTCCGGAATACCCGTTGTGCCGGCTCGTCCATAGTCCTGTTAGGCGAATCGTGCACGCTGTCGAGCCTAAGACCACCGAACTATTGTTTTCGCCAAAGTTCGGCACTCGCAGCACAAAAACATAGGCCGAGCACGTTCACCAGCACTTAACAAAACACAAAGGTAAGCGTTGCCAGACTGAATATTTTCCACGATATCAGCTTCCGTTATTTTAACATCCTAAAATAGTTTTACGGATTTACTGGATCGCAATGCATGTTTTATTTTAGAAGTTTTTGCCATTGCAAGTCCACCCTTGCGTCATTAGTTTACAGTTGACTCCCATTAAACGAAATTCGCTTAAATGAAAAAGCCGCATAAACAAAACTGTCTTGTAGGCACGTTTGGTTGGTTTCTTCTCTATTCAAAAATAAAAAGTTTTGTGTAATCGGAACATTTTTTTTCGCTTACATCGGTTAAATGAAACTAAAACAGGCAAAATCCATGAACGGTGGAAGGGGCCACGGCAGTCTAGCAACCATTAAACAAATGCCGAAGCTAGCCTAGCCTAGCCAAGCCAATCTAGCGATTGCACATGTCCGCGCACGCCGAGCAGCAAATGATCCATCTCGTTTCCATCTTTTTTGTTTCCATTTCGTCGTGAACTTGAAATGGAAACAAAAAAAAAATGGCAGCACAATGCACTTTTGCTCGCAACAAAAGTAAAAATCATTCAAGAACTTGACCGCTTGACCGCATTGACCTATCGAAAACAGAAATTGGGAACAAGTTCAATATTCCCAATTCCACACTGTTGAGGATGCTCAAGAACAAAGGGAAAATCGAAGAAGCTGCAAAGCTTGGGAACTTTGCCACGGACAGATTGTGGATGAGAACGGCGGCATACAAAGAAATCAAAGATGCTCTGTTTCTCTGATTCAAGCGTGCACGCAGTGCAGACTTCCCGATCAGCGGCCCCGTTTTTGAAGAGAAGGCCAAAGAGATTGCTACTCGCATGGGGATCGAGCATTTGAGGTGAGCGATGGCTGTCTGAGCCATTTTAAAAAGCGGCATGGTCTTGTCTTTAAGATAGTTTCTGGAGAAAGTGTGGCTGTAAACAAAAATATTATAAAGGAGATTTATTAAGCAGAAAGGTTGATGCTTGCAAGGCTTGGAAGGCGATGCACCAGCCGCAATTTCCGTGCTCGAGCCGCTGCTGCACACTCGATGCTGCTGCCTCTGCGCCGGAGTACTTCCTCTTCTTTACAATGGCCCCACGGAGAAAAAAGGAGCCGTCCTGGCGACTTAGTCCTGGGCAGGCGGCGTTGAACCGTGGTATTGTTTGAGCCTCTGGACGTGTACTACCTCGCGGTTGCGACGTCGCAAGTTTGATGGTGGCGTAAGAGGCTCAATGAGGTAGTTTACTGGCGAAGTTTGTTCGACAATGCGATATGGCCCATCGTACTTTGGCAGAAGTTTGGAAGAGAGTCCAGGTGTGCGATGCGGCACTGACAGGCATACAGGAGAACCCGGAAGAAAAACGGGAGTTGAGGTCTGGGCATCATGAATTGCTTTTTGCCTGTTTTGGTCATCGCAGGTAAAGCGACGAGCTAACTGGCGGCATTCTTCTGCGTGTCTGGCGGCGTCCAAGATCGGTAGGCATTCGGACGCGTCCGGTCGATAGGGCAAAATAGTGTCAATGATGTGGGAGGGGTGACGGCCGTAGAGGAGATAAAAAGGGGAGAAGCCTGTTGTCGCTTGCGTTGCCGTATTATAGGCGTATGTAATGAATGGGAGAACTAAGTCCCAGTTAGAGTGGTCAGGCGTCACATACATAGATAGCATGTCACCGAGAGTACGATTGGTTTGTGGGTGGTAAGCGGTACATGTGCGATGTACAATAGCACACTCTGCGAGCAATTTTTCAATGACCTCGGACAAGAAGGCGCGGCCGCGGTCACTGAGGAGTTCTTGAGGGCCTCCATGACGCAACACAAAATGACGCAGTAGGAAAGTGGCAACCTCCTGTGCTGTAGCCGTTTTAAGAGCAGCGGTCTCAGCATAGCGCGTTAGGTGGTCGATAGCAACTATTATCCACCTGTTGCCAGTCGGAGTCAATGGAAGTGGCCCATAAATATCTATTCCAACCCGTTTGAAGGGTCGGGAAGGGCATGGTAAAGGCTGCAGTTCACCGGCGGAGGCGTGTGGTGGAGATTTTTGGCGCTGACATTCGGCACAAGAGCGGACGAAGTTGCGGACGAAGGTATAGATGCCACGCCAGTAGTAGCGATGTCGAAGCCTTTCGTAGGTCTTGAAGACTCCTGCGTGGCCACATTGTGGGTCAGCGTGAAAAGAGGAACAAATCTGCGACCTCAGGGTTCGTGGAACGACGAGCAGCCACTTACGTCCCTCTGGTGCGTAGTTACGTCGATAGAGAAGCGTGTCACGTATCGAGAAGTGTGGAACTTGGCGCCGAAGCGTTTGTGTCTTTGGAAGTTCAGAAGTGTCGGAGAGATGATGGAGGAGAGACGCAGTCCACGGGTCATTGCGTTGTTCGATAGCAATGGTGTCAAAGTCAAGCGATGACAATGTGGAATCGCAAGCGGAGTCAGCTGTGGCATTCTGGGACAGAGGGGAGCGGGAAAGGGCGTCGGCGTCAGCATGCTTCCGTCCTGACCGATAAACCACGCGTATGTCGCAATCTTGAATTTTCAACGCCCAGCGAGCGAGGCGGCCAGATGGGTCTTTTAACGTCGAAAGCCAGCACAGCGCGTGGTGGTCGGTCACGACGTCAAAAGAACGACCATATAGATATGGGCGAAACTTTCCAAGGGCCCACACAATGGCCAAGCACTCCTTTTCTGTGACGCTGTAGTTGCTCTCAGCCTTGGT